GCTTGAAGGATGCCCAAAACAAGTATAATGATAATGTTGATCTGTTCAACCAGCTTCAGAACAAATCGCAAGAGCTAGCAAGAGACATTCAAGCGGCCCGCGAAGACCTTCTACGAAAGGATCAAGTGTACCGCAATCTTCATGAAGATTTAAACAATAAATTAAGCCGTTGGCATGTTGCGTATTACAATGCTTCGAGGTTGTCATCCCTAGCTCGGCTGAAACAGCAGGAGCTGACCTGGAACAATTCCCGAGCTGTTTTAGATGAAGCAACGCGGGTGCTGAACGCAGCTCAAGCATCAACCTTGAATGTGAGTAGAGTTCTCTCTGATGCACGAAAGCAAGAAGGTGGAGGGCTAGAAACACTACAAAGGAATATAACAGCATATGAACGAGCTGTACATCAGTTTGCAGCCACTTCGAGATCTCTGGCGTCTGCAAAGGCTAAAAAAGCTGTTGCGGAAGAGGAGTACGCTTCAGCAGATCTTGCCACTACGTTTGCAGAGAACAATGCGACTCAGTCACATGCAGCTTTGCGTGAAGCCAACTTTTCTCGTGATCAGCAGTACACTCTCACTGAAGCTAGTTTGGAACAATTTCTTGCCTCGAGGAATGCTTCAAGAGAGGAAGCATCAGAAACACTCTACCGCAAGCATTATGCTGATGCAGAGTTGCAAGCAATGCGTACTCAAGCTGGTCGTTTCTGCGCTGGAAGCTCTTCCCCAACCAATAGAGAGGCTTCTACTAGAAGGGCTAGGTTGGCAGAACAGGCTTGGGAGACAGCGGGTGCAACCAGAAATCAGTTGGCTGAAGGCCTCTCTGCTGCGCAGCTATACGAAGAAAGGACTAAGCACATGATTTATCGTTGCGCAGGTCGCTCCAGTGGTGCTGATGCTGGGTCTTCGTTGTTGTGCCTCATTGGGAAGACTCCAGCAAATGAGTCACAAGCGCAGGTCGGATTGGCACCTCTGTGTGGTAACGAAGCTTGCCCTCTTCAGGACTGCATGCACAATGTGAAGCAGTCTTCGATCTTGCCTTTGTGCTCCTCGTCTTTGTGCAATGATACACAGAGTGGCAGCCAGAGCGGAGCTGAGCTGCTGGGTGTGGCGGATCTTCTGAAGCAGCTCTTGACAGCTCAGCGACTTTCTCAAGAAGCTCTGACCAAAGCAAGAAGACAAATTGGCACAGATTTGAGTGACAACGACGGCAGTCCAGCAGTATATGTACCTGTGGAGCTGACAAATGCTGTTGAAGAGATGAGCAAAGCAGTGTCGGAAGCAAAGAAGAAGCAAGGAACATCATCCATGGCTGTTAAGGACGCTTCCAGTTTGCTTGAGCGTTTCAAAAACGATCTTGCTACCATTTCAGACAAGCAGAGAGCCAGTGTGACAGATCTGGACAATTCAGACAGGCAGGCCCGGCAGCTTGCAATGCAGATATCCATTTGGGAGGAGTATGTCCGGACAAACATGACCTTCTTTAGCGAGAAACAGAGAGTATACATGGATGTCACGCGGACCGCGGACCTCTTGGCTGTGACTGCCCAAGAGGCATTCAATCGAACTGATCTTTTGTCATCACACCGCCTTGTTGCGATCAACATGAGCATATTGGGAAGAAGGACCCGAGATGAAGAGGCACAGAAGCTGAATCTTGCTGAGCAGCAAGTTCAAAGAGTCAATCGAACGCTTTCTGACAACTTGACGGTTCTGGTGTCTGCTTGGCTTCAGCAGCAGGAGACGGCCAAGGCAGTTTGCAGCTCACTGCATTGTCATTTTCAACATGTCAGAATGTCAGAATTGCATGTTTGTGCTTTAGGCATCACAATCAGGAAGATGGAGTGAACGACTTCTTGCTGCAGCAAAAGAGGTTCTTGTTACGATGGTGGCAGACCCAGCGGGCCCTTATTGACTCGCTTGAAGTTGCCTCAACTTTGATTTGTTCAGGTTTGTTGATACAATAGACCTCAAGTTGTTTTCTGAGTTCTTCTTTTGCTTCTCCATTTTCCGGCTGGTTTTGTAACTTAGAAAAGGTGGGTTCCTTGGAGAGTTTCTTGGACAATTACATCATCAGCCTCTCTGACAAGGACAACTAATTGGGGTAGCAGAACCTTTGAGTTGGACAAAAAGCAATAACATAACAACATGTTTGATTTGTTTTGTCAGGATGCAGTTCTGCAGCTGATGCAGGCTGTAGATCAGCGCAAGGCAAGATAGAAGTACATATATATGTTTCTGGAAGCAAGTGCCTGTGCAGAAGTCACTTTTTCAGATTGTGTGCAATGTACCACGCAATGCATGCAAAGTATTCGCTTGTGAAAGGAGGTGGAATTGCAGTGGTTGGAGTCAGAGAGAGAGCTGGAGAAGGCGATAGAGAAGGTGGAGTCGTGTTGTTGAAGCCGTGAAAGCCATCACCAAAAGTACGATGAAATCGACAGGTCACAGCTCTCAATGCAAGCCTGGAAGAAGCAGAGGCCAAGACTAGCTCACTGGCTCGCCCATATCAGTCGCCAATGTTGCAATGTTTAGTGCAACAGCCAAGGTAAGTTTACCAGCGAACCTCACGCATTTGAACATTGCTGCCGAACTGCGTGTCTTAATTGTTGTGGCAGCCGCCCTTGATCGCAGGTTGCGTATCAACTGGCCCAGCAAAAAGCTGCAAATGCTACCAGTGCCG